AACTAGAAGTTCCATTAAAGAACTGAAGAGTTGCTATGATCATTATAGAAAACAAAAGGTTTTTTACCTTTTGTTTTTTAAGGTCAATAAAGTTGAGTTAACAGATGAACCAGATTTTTTTTTTTCATTTTTCATTTGACCCAGATAATGAATCAAACCTGTTAGCTGATAAAAGTGGTTCAGAAAATGAAAGTGAATCTGATACTGACAATGAAGAAACTGCTGATGTTACCCAAGAAGAGGATGAGGGTGACAGTAGGGAAAGTGAAGAAGATGAAGATATGAATACCCCTGACCAACTTCGAATGGCAGTTCAAACAGCTTTGAGTGCAGGCAGTGAAAGCGACGGTGAGAGTGTAGATGTTGACATGATAGTTGATGAAGAAGATGAGAAGTTGGATAAACGTGGTTCAGAAAATGAAAGTGAATCTGATACTGACATTTTTTTTTTGTAGATAGTCAGTTGAGTTTCATTGAAGAAACTGCTGATGACACCCAAGAAGAGGATGAGGGTGACAGTAGGGAAAGTGAAGAAGATGAAGTAACTCCTGACCAACTTCGAAATGCAGTTCAAACAGCTTTGATGCCTGCACTCAAAGGGAGCACTCACTGTGAAAACAGAAGAAAAAGGTTGAGAAGTTGAACGAAGCATTATCTGTGGCATTTAAACAATTTGCCCAAGATAAGAAGCAAATAATTAAAAAAGAGAGAAGGGCAAAAAATAATTTATCAGATTTTCGCATAAGAGTCCTTGACCTTTTATGTATATATTTTGAAAAAGACCCACCAATGGGTATCTGTCTAGCGATGATAGCCCCGCCCCACTAATGAGATGCTTAGAATTTTGTATACAAGATATCCAGTTGAAAAAATTGAAGGTTAAAATTAGTAAAACAATAAAATTGCTTACAAAATAAGGAAATTTTCGTCCACGGATGGCATCACTATGGAAATGTTATGTGATTATTTAAAGTCTACAATTCACAAAGGAGCGAAATCGCACTTTTTGTACTATGTTGGAGATGTGATAACATTTTTCGCCACATTTATAATCCATTGTTCACTAAAGATTGATTCTCATAAGAAAAAAAATGGGTGCGTGTACTTATGTAGGCGCGTGAGAAGTTATCCTTCTTTGGCATCGTTTAAAATTAGTTTTTAATTGCATGCAAATAATTAATTACAATAAATTAATAAAAAGTCTGCAAAAGGACACAGTCAATAAAGTTCAGTTTTAATTTGAAAAAATAAATAAATAATCAAAATATTCAATTAAAATCGCTACTGAATATAATTTATTAGAACATATGTGATTTGCACTTGTATGAAACTCAAACACGTATTCCGAATATACAAACTAAAAACATGTGGATAAATATTATAAATATGAATACCTATAACTGTTACTTTATTACAAAAAATAAAGATGTGGTTTTTGGTTCTACTACACCAATGGTCAAGAGATGGCGCTGTAGTCTCCTGAATCGCGCTTTGGTTCCCTTGTTCCAGATTAATAAATACTTTTTATAGGCCTTCACAATGCAGTCGTTAGCACCCACTAAATAGAGATTCTATTTCTATTTTGTTGGTAGATTTCCTTAATGTGCGGTAAACACAAAAGTAACTTGTCGCTTTAGCGACCAACTTCATGCTGTTAATTTTTTGTGTTACAGTGATGCGCGCGCATCTTAAAATTTCACTCTCATAATTTTTTCATAACGCGCCTAAAGAAGTATAACTTCAAAAAAACAGTATCGCCCATTGCAGATGTTTTAAAGGAAGCTTTACAAAGTTATTTTATTAATCGCAACTGTTTGCTTCCTATTATATTCTTCCACAGCATATTGCAAACAGAATGGGATGGCAATTTCTTATTAGTACTTACCAATAATCATAGACAATGTTTTCAACCACCAGATGCGACCATATAGGCGTAAACAAGGTCTTTATTTAATGGAAGGTTTCTATCGCGCCTTGAAAAGGAACAAACCATCAGATAAATCTATATTAAAAAAACTATCGAATATAGAGGCGACATTTGAAAATACCTTGAGAGAGAATTTTCAAACCGAAACTTTAGAAGTTACCACAGATTATATTTTTGTTCTTTTTCGCTTGATCAAAACTATGAAAATGTTTCATGAAAGCTGCCATATAGGAACCAATCTCGATTTTCAGTCCCTATTACACATTGTGGACACGTATGAGGCTATTAAGGGTGTAATAAAAGGTGAAGAAAATATTGAGAAACATCATAATAAAATATACTAATGAAATTAAATCAAAGAAAAAGAAACGCAAATAAATGAGCATGCTGAACCACCTTAGATTAAAACAAAAAGGGATCCATACTAGCGTCAAATAAAATATGCTCCGACTTAACTACTTATGCAACTCTCACCCACGCACAATAGGGATGACGACTAATTTTTTTTTCTTCGTTTATCAGGTAGATTATCAAAAAGTAATGGACACGTATTTTTTTTCTTTTTTCACATAATATAAACATTGCAGAGATATATCGATTTGAAAAGTCGCATGACGTCACGTTTTCATGGAATTTTCACTTAAAAGTAACGACACGAGCCCCTACTCCTAAGCTTTGACGCGCTTTTATCTTTGTAATTTTTTGGTTGATTGCCTAAAGAAAAAATACGTGTCCATTATTTTTTGATCATCTAACTGACGGACTAAATAGAATTTCATTTACTTTACCCCGTCGTCGTGACCCCTATTCTGCAAATAAGCATTTAATCGAGCGAACAAGACAGAATAGGGATGATGACTAATTTTTTTTTCTTCGTTTATCAGGTAGATTATCAAAAAGTATTGGACGCGTATTTTTTCTTTTTTCACATAACATAAACATTGCAGAGATATATTGATTTGAAAAATCGCATGACGTCACGTTTGAGTACACTTAAAAGTGAAAATTCACTCAAAAGTGACGTCACGAGCCCCTACTCCCAAACTTTGACGCGCTATAACTTTGTCATTTTTTGGTTGATTGCCCAAAGAAAAAATACGTGTCCATTATTTTTTGATCATCTAACTGACGGACTAAATAGAATTTCGTTTACTGTACCCCGTCATCACCCCTATTGTGCGCTTCAACGCAGCAGCCGACTGCGTTTTCTTTTCTCTTTCCACAGACGGCTAAATTATATTTGTTATTTGATGAATAAAAATATCCGGATCATTATAACTTTGTTTAATTGTTATAAACTCCTTTACAATTCACAATAATAAGTTTCGCTACATCTTAATCTTATTCAGAGGCACGTTCGCAACAGAAAGAGAGAGTTGTCAGTACAAAAACATAGATTACAACATGAACATACACCACAGATAATTAAATCCTAACACCCCCCCTCGATTTTTAGTCATTTTTCTTATTTAATTATTTACTTTTATATCTTTTTCTCTTTCTATGCCATTTATATAATTTAAAAAATTACTTTCCGCTTCAGACTTGTTTTTCAATAGGTATGTCTTTGTAATGTCCCAGGTGCATCAACACCGGGTCGCGGCGACAGAGCGGGGCGAGCGACCCGTTCTAGAGGAGATAGAACGGGTCCGCACCGAGGCGCAGAGGGAGGCTCTGCGCCGATGGGTGGAGGCACTCGCCAACCCAGCCGCTGGCCACCGGACGATCGAGGCGATTCGTCCGGTGTTGGAGGAGTGGGTAGGGCGCCAGCGGGGCACCCTCACCTACCGCCTGGTGCAGGTACTGACCGGACATGGGTGCTTCGGTCACTACCTGCACCGAGTCGCCCGTCGGGAGGAGACGCCGCGGTGTCATCACTGCGCCTCTCCCGATGACACGGCCGAGCACACGTTGATCGTGTGCCCGGCCTGGCGAGATGAGCGCCGCGATCTGATCGCGGCGCTCGGCGTAGGAGGCCTCACGCTACCAAGTATGGTAAGAGCCATGCTTGGTAGCGAGAGAGCCTGGAGGGTTGCCGCCTCCTTCTGCGAATCGGTGATGACGCAGAAGGAGGGAGCGGGAGGAGGACGCTCTAGCCGCCCCTCTCCGGCGTAGACGGGTGGGCCGAAGAAGGCAGGCAGCGGTGACTGCCGGTCTTCGACGGCCCTAAGGTGGTCTGGGCGCGGCCTGACCAGCCGCGCACCCTAGGTGCCGCTCCGGCATAGGCCACCACGTCTGGGGACTGCCTAGTACCCTAGCGCAGTCCCCCTGAGGCGCGTCGCCCGGTCCACTCGTTGGGCCGGGCCTGCCCGGGGGCGTGCTCGGAGATGTGGCGCACGCAGGTGCGTCGGCCCCGAGACGCCCCCATATGGGCGTAGGAGGGTACCGGGGGGTTTTAGTGGAGTAGGATCAGTGTGGCCTTCCGCACTGGTCCTGCTTGAGTAGGGTCGGCACTGTTTCCCGTGCCGGCGAGTCCCACACACGCCGTGCGCCTAGTCAGCGTCACGGTATGGTGCGTAACTGCATTTCCCCTCGTTACAAAAAAAAAAGGTATGTCTTTGTAAAATGTGAGTAGTCATCTATTAGTCTGATAAAATATTTGTCCTTCTCTCGCATTCACTTTCATTGGACCTGACCTACATCCGAGTGTATCAATTGTCCTATTCCACTTAGACCCGAGAGGTTCCGGGTTTGAATCCCGGTGGGTGCAGATGTTAGTGTGATGAATTCGAGCATTTGTACTAGTCATGTATGTTTAATATGTATTTATATATAACTATACTTATATATGTACAGTATATGTATTCTATCCGTTACCCTAGTATCCCATAACACAAGCATAGTTACTTTGAGGCTAGGCTAATTGGTGTAAGTGTTTGAAATATTAATTCAAACAGCTATGAAGCCGACCGACTGCGCTCGGACTCTGTTGTAGCCGCTTCCGCATGCAAAAAATGAACTCAACTACTTTATGGATAAATTGTTTTAAACTTTCATGGTCACTAACATTATAGCTATTAACGGGATTGTTACCATGTACCCCTTGTTTTTGGTGAGTCGCCGAGATCTCAGCACTGTTGCAAGCGCCATGATCACGGAGCAACTCAGGTAATTGCGGGTAGATGTTATTGGCAGGCATATCGGTCTACCCTTTGACGTCGTATTTTACTGCGCTCGATAACCCTACCACTAGTCACATTCTCACTATTCACTCGCACCTGTTCTCGACACACAATACTCAGGCCCGTATTACAGAAAGATTCTCAGTTATTAATCTAGTCTTGAGCATAGATAGAAAAGGATGTCGCTATATGTAGCACATAGCGACATCCCTTTCTAACTGTACTCAAGTAAAGATCAACACTTAGTTGCCATTCTGTAATACGGGCCTCAGTCTCACAATAACAGTGCCGAAATATCCGAGACCCAAAAAACAAGGTAATGGTAACAATCCCGTAAATAGCTATAATACTTTATGGATGTTTCAATTACCTTCAGCAAATTATAATATGCGCTGCGCTCCGACGCGACATGCGCCGGTAAGTGAGAATCGTACATTAGAGTGCTCATTCTTTACGGGGCAAAGTGTCACTTTTTGTTATCGTAAACTCCCGAATGAGAGACGGAAGAGAACACAACATTTTCAACAATATCAATTTTATTTTTACAAACATAACATTAGCTTTATATATTACAGCACATATTTACGTGAACAATATATTACAATGCAGATCACAGTCTTTTATAGGTACTTATATAAAGTATGAGAATGATAAAATAATAATGTAAAATGTTTCATCTATAAACATAAACACACAAAAATGGTTGGTGATTATATATATATAGTTATACATATATATATAATATGTTGATATAAAATGTAATAGTTATATAGTATTTTTTTACATTCTTATTTATTTACATATAATTCACAGAACAGTCTTGAACGGTTTATCTGATGCAAGAGACTTAGGAAGCCCAAGCACTAATTTTGACAGTTTTTCCGTAATCGTATGGCATCGTCAAAGTTTTTAGATATTGTGTTTTCACCCTCTAATAAGGATGTATGTCTTATTCCTTTGTCATTTGTCTATTAAAAAAGGCTACCATCACTTCCTCCGTGCCCCTTCGTAAAAAAAATGGTCCTACGTTCAACGTAGTGTCTGCTTGTTATATTAAATCTAAGTGCATCTTTTCATGAACTAATTGTGTATAAGTCCGATGTGGTTGTATCCAATAAAAAGACCAATACGCCGAGTTCCACGCTTTTATTTACGCCGAAATACGCCTTGGTTCAGCTTCCACATCACAATTCTCAGAAAAGTTTCTATGAAACCTAAGCAGCGCCCGGACTAACAGCTACCGGACGTAAGAACAAACTGCCTTCTTCCATGCAAAATTTGATGATGACGCTACGATTAGAGGAGCTGTCAAATTTCGTGTTTGGGCATCTGAACTTAAAACTTCTAAAAGGATTGGTACACGCATCCAATAGATTGTGAATCTTATGGCAAGCAAAATAAAGCTCAACTTTGTTGAACAAATTTTACAGGATGTTAAATAGCGTCTCACTATAAGACGGGCGGTCAATTGACTGAAGTAACGCGACAATACAATCCAGCCAATGGCATAAAAGCTTATATAATTTTTGTGCGATTCAGTTCACGTTCACATGATTTCAACTTTACGCCCCTTATAGTAAAGTCGATATTAGCAGGCAAAAAGTTTGTGGCTTGGTCCAAAGCACCCGCCATTACATTACAGTGCGGCCACCGAAACAATGCGATTCTGCTCGTCAGTTCCTTATGGCGACGGAATTAAAGTTTGCCCCAATGAAATTCAAACTCTGCACTTCTGAGTAGGCGACACCTAGCAATCCACTTGGTGTAAATACTACTCACAACGTCATTCTGTAAGGACAAACACACAATTTTCACTGAAATATATTTGAAATTGGTGTTCTAATATTAAATCACACCGCAGTTACAGAAAATATATATACGAGCGCGGCAGACATTGGAAAGGGCTATGCTCGGCGTTTCTCTGAAGGATCGCATCAGAAATGAGGTAATCCGACGAGAGAGAGACGAGAACCAGAGTTATCGACATAGCCCACCGGATCAGCAAGTTGAAGTGGCAGTGGGCTGACCATATTTGCCGAAGAACCGATAACCGTTGGGGTACACGAGTTCTGGCGTGGAGGCCGCGTCTAGGCAAACGTAGTGTAGGACGTCCTCAGGCACGATGGAGTGACGATTTGTGCAAGGTGGCTGGCAGGAGCTGGATGCGAGTAGCCCAAGATCGATCTGAGTAGCGTGCAATTGGAGAGGCCCATGTCCAGCAGTGGACTAGGATAGGCTGTTGATGATGATTGATGATGAGACATTGAGAAGGGATGGTATGTCAAACCTCTGGTACCTCCTATTCAAAAGACTGATGATTTGCTGTCGAAAAGTCGTGGCAGTTTGTTGAAAAATAATTTTTTTTTGTGCCCCAGAGGTTCGTCACTACATAGAGGCCTCAGGTATGATGGGAGTTCTTCACAAGCAGAGTTGCCATCTCTATTATATAATATAGTATCCTACTATATTAGGGGATCAAATACTACATTTCTAAAAAAAAATATAAAAAAGTTGGTCACCCAACTCACAAGGGCCAAGGTTGCCTGCCCCTCTTAAGTTAATCTGCCGCGCTCGAGTAAATCCAAAAATTCCCGCTTGGGCTCCCCCGCCCCCTCCTGTTGTGAGTTTGTTCTTACAAAATAGTACAGCTGCTAATGGGATAATTCACGTCTTTGGCTAGTCTAGCAAGCTGTAACATCTGGGGCACATCACAACAGAAAGATGTATAAATTGTTATGATTTTGACGTTTCTTTATATAATACTAGCTGTTATCCGCGGTTAATTAGGGATATTTTCCCGCAGCAAAACATAGCCTATATGTTAATCCAGGGTGTCAGCTAACTCCATACCAAATTTTATTAAAATCACTCCAGCCGTTTAGATGTGAAGAAGTAACACACATACCCACTCACAAACGTTCGCCTTTATAATATTAGTGTGATTAGATATATTAGTAAGCCAATAAATAAATGGTTTGGAAATTACTCACTTTAAAGATTAACACGGAGGAAATATTCTCAAGGGCTCGCTGTATCGACGTCATTATCCATATCATGATACTAAATATATATATATATACACTATATATGATAGCAATAAAGATATTGAGCCATGACCACAGAGCCAAAGAGATGGGAGACACTGTTCCCTAAATTATCGTCCATGTGCATTAAAAGTTATATTACCAAGGGTTTTCCAATTGAGCTTTATAAATGTTATAATTAGACATACATTTGATTAAAAACTACAAATTATTGTTAACAAAAATATCAGTCGATAAAGACGCCATTTATAGTGATGAAGTCAAGTTTTAAATTTAGTTTTTTAATTGAATATATTTATACTAAAATTTATTAAATAGCGAGATTTATTTATATAGGGAACACATTTGATACAGTCGAAAAGTTAAAAAAAAGTTCTACTGAATCTCACAGAGATCAGTTCTTTTCTAATATTTATTTATATGGCGTATTCCCGATGTTCCTCAACAGAGGAGGTAATAGGAATGATGTACATTATTAAATTTCCCGTTGTCCTCTCTACCTCATTTGGTGTAAGTCGATTGTCAAAATAGATATTTACAATATTCTACATTAAAACAATAATATTTTTCAATATTATTAAACTAAAAGAACTATTTTTCTTATAAGAAAATAAGTCCACTCTATAGGGTTGCAAAATACCTAAGTCTTCACAGCCAGCTGTGAAATACACATCAAGTTCAAGTGCTTATCTGTCCGTCAAATTGAATGTTCTAACTTCCAAAAAATAAAAACATTAAAAACTCGTAAAAAATTGCCGTAGATCACATATTATACATTTAAGTAATCATATTATTTTATTATTTATTATAGTAGTTACTTTACGGTATATACACGAACCCTTTTACACAACACATATCCTTTTTCGATCGATTAGATTTAGTTTAGTTCACATCACAATATTTTACCACACTGTTATCGCAGAAGTTCCTCTTGACTGGAATTGGGTTTTCACTCTACTATTATAATATTTACACTTTTTAAAACACGATCACACATGGCTAGTGTAATATTTGGTCACTTTTCAACCCCACCCGGGGTCATAATGGTCTCACTAGCCCCAGTTCGGGTCGTATTTGGTCCAAGGGAAAGAGGGCGCAAGATACACCCGTCTCCCTCGGACGAAACAAGACACTATACCTCTGTACGCTGTACGAGGTACACCACTCTGGAAGAAAACATAGTTTTGTGTTAATTTTTTCAGATTTTTAATAGCTATTGCATTTCAACACAGAAAAATACTTGTTTTTTACAGTTAAAATAAACTCGAAAGATACCACTTACATAAAAAATAGCATTTGTTTCTGCAGTTTAAATAAACATATCTATTTTTTTGAGTGCGTATGCTGTTAAGGGGACTTCAAGCCAAGAATTGGCGAGAGGTATTCCAGACTCTAGCTACTAGAGTCGAATTTGAGGTAGGGCAACATTGTTTAAAGGTAGGGCGGAAGTAAAAAAAAAAATTCATAATTGATCTGGCCTTGGAGCACGGGCTCCTAAATCAATTACCATGTATATCATTGACCTCTAGGTCAATGATGTGGGTCAATCAACTATTCCTTGCTCGATGTTACCCTTTTCCTGTCCCATAAGCATAATACAAAATCTACCAAAAAATATGCGCTAAAATCATAATTTATGTATTCCTAGAAACATTTACAAACATATAATCAAAGAAATATTGAGTTTTGGTTCAAACTAAACAATCTTTTATGGTTTATGGACAAATCGGTCATTTCGTGATATCACGGAATGTCCTCCGGAAACAGGTCATCAAAACTATTTCCATTACGAAAAAAAACTCTATGAAACAATTCTCAGTAATTGAAAAAAATCACTTTCAAGTATGTACTCTGTTAATAAAACATATTGGTATTTATTAAGGTTAATAAAAATTACCAAAGTATTTTATTTTACTTGTGTCCCCAAAAATGTTTGCTTAGCTAACGTCACCTGGACCACCGCTAATTTAGTATGCGAAAAAAACATAGATGGCGACTGAGTACGTTAGCAACAAGGCCGTCTCTCTAAGAAGATGTCGCGTCCTACCGCCATTTTTATTTCAACAAAGGCGTGGCGTCAGTCGGGCGAGTTCCGTAAGTGAAAGTGCGTGTTCTTATTGTCGTTCCAGCGGACAACCGTCAGAATTCCATAAGTACTCAATATTTAACAATTAACTATATTGTACTAGATGTTGTGTCAGCTAGATTTTACTGTGAGAGTAGGAAAAGAGGCAATAAAACGTTATTATTTAATAGGAAGCCAAAAGTTTATAAAACGTCTTACGGACAACCAGTCACTTGGACAACGAAATTGGTGGTCCGTAGGACATTTTGGTTGTCCTTAGGACAAATAATATTATTTTGATAATAAACATCTATAAATTAAATATTTATTCGTGCATTGGTTGTGACTATTGCTTCTACACCAAGAGGTCAGTGAAATGAAATGAAATCATCAGATGTTTAGTACCCATAGTATAGTACAAGCTTCGGCTTAGTTTGAGACTAGATGCCTCGGTGTGGTCTTGAATGCCATGTGCTGAAAAATTTTTTTGAAAATGGGATTGTCGGAGAAAGAAAAATCGAGACGATACAGAGAGAGGCTTAAAGCGTGCCCATAAAAATTAGCTGAAAGGAAGAGAAAGAACTGAGAAAGCTATCATAAACACAAAAAGTTAATTTCAAGTATGCAGCCTGAGGAGCAAAAGAATGCAGAATTATTTGGAAATTGCGTAAACAGGAGCAGAGGAAATGAATGCAAGTAGTACGAGATGTATTTTTCAATACACCCGCAAGAATTTGATATACCGCAAGAACAACAAGCAGTCACACCGCCTCCTCCTGCTGTTACGTTGGATCCTGAATGTAAAGAAAGAGGAAGAAAAAAAAACGCAGAGATAGATCTAATTGTAAAGAGAAAATTTGAAACTACGAATTGAAGCAAAGATGTGGAAGAAAAAATACGAAAATTTTAAAAAGAGAGCTAATCGTAAGAAGAAAGAATTAGTTCAGGTGAAAGAGAATTTAAAACCTAAAGAGAATAATCCTAAGGTAGATTGTGAGGTAGTCTATAAATATAATATATTGACTAATGCTATCAAAGAAAAATACAAGAAAACTAAAGACATGAGCGAAAACTGAGTGGAAGAATATGTTTGATAACATGCATACAGCGCAAAAAAATTAAATCATGAAAGAGAGCTTAGATTTAAAATATCAAGTCAGGGCAAAAGCAACAACGTGCCATGGACATACACAACTCTCAAAAAAAGAAACTGTCACTAAAGGCAAAATGAAGATGCAAAAACGGTTTCTTTTGGAGTCTATGAAAAATCTTTTTAAAGCTTTTAAGTCTGAAAATCCAGGAATAAAAAGTTCTTATTTTAATTTAACAAAATATAGACCGTTCTACGTCGTAAGACCATAAGAATTTGAATAATTTTTTTACTTTTATTTATATTTTTTTTATTATTTAAAAATAAAACACTAAAATATGCTTTTTAAGTCGAAGTATTTCCTTTGGACAACTGTTAATGTCCATTGGGCAACCAAGTTGTCCCCACATTGAAAATCAGTTCTTATTTGATTTTTTGGCTTTAAATTATAAAATTATTTATGTTTATTGGAAGGATAGAAAGTACAAATTAAACTAAACGGTCTGTGGTATAATGTTGCATTTATTACCATTATTTTCAGTTTTATAGGAAAGTTTCATTACGCAAAAAAGATCCCCTGGACAACGGATCATTAGTAGTAGAATATTAAATAAATTATACTTTATTTTATTTAAACGAATATTAAAATGTAGAGACAATGTTACGATATAATAAAAAAATGGATTTTCTTTAATTATTATTGTTAGTTGAGTTATTTAAAAAATCTATAGTGTTAGTGGTCCAAGGGACGGATTTTGCTGAGGTTGGTCGATATTTTTCCTCTAAATTTTTGTAATTTAAGAAAACGTCACTGCCCGTTACCGGACCATAAAAATTATTAAATCATCTATTATATGAAATTTAAAAAAGTAACTCTTTACGAAAAAAATTAAAAAACACTATTTTGGGCAACGTAGCAATAAAAAGTTGATCGACCCATGTACATTTTATAGCTATTCGTAGACAAATAATTATTGTGACAGAGCATGAGCATGGATCTAAGAACTATTAAATCCTCAATGATGAAGAATAAGATGGTTGAACTTCCAGATTTGGATGAAAAGATCCCCGTCTGAGTGAGAGTGAGGTAATAATTTATTGTTGGGTGGGGTGATATCAGTAAATAGATACGATCAAAAAGACTATTTAGATCATTTTTAAGGTAGGGCATTGTGATTTCAAGGTAGGGCATTGCCCCACACTGCCCAATGTAAAAATATCGCGGCACTCACCCTGAAGTCGTCCATTAGGCCAAGTTTCTTTGCAGCCTTCTGGTAAGTCTTGGCGTTGGAATACGTGACGCGGACGGGAGAATCGTCTTGGGACGAAGCCACCACATCTTCAGCGCTCACCTCTGGTAACGAGTACACTTTGGACTCCAACGCGTCGTCGTAATTCTCCTAAATTCAGGAGGAATAAGAGTTTAAATAAATATTTCCAACACACACCAATTAGCCTAGCCCCAAAGTAAGCACTGTAAGGCTTGTGTTATGGGATGCTAGGGTAACGGATAAAATACATATACAAGTATATTGAATGAATGAAATGTTGTGATATAGTATCCAAAAAATATTGTGCGATCATTACTATTAGTGAACATTTTACATTTTGTGCAATTTATATAAAATACAAAATCTGTGCCGGCAAACGATTTATTTTCGATATAAGTGCTTGAAGGACGACTTGCGACCAAACGGATGGTGTGCTGAGGTAAGTGCGCCTTTCCTTTGTCTCCAGTTCTTCAACCATTTTCTATGTCCTTATATAGATAAGGCATTTGCAAGGCGCAGTTTATTTTGTATTTTTAATAATATATGATTGTGTATTACCGCCCCCCAGAAACAGTCCACTTTTCAACCTACGCCTAGGGTTAGCCTCACTATATAAGTATTGAGCATGCAAAATTATTATTTTCCCGCAACCCAAGTTATGGGGGTTTAGGCGCCTCCAAAGATATTTATATATAAATACATATTAAACACCCATGACCGGAGTACAAATGCTCGTATTCATCACACAAACATCGGCCCCCACCGGGATTCCAACCCGGGACCTCTCGAGTTGGCGACTGCCATGAAACCCGGCGTACAAACCACTCGGCCACGGAGATCGTCAAATTGATGTGTATTTTATTTTTTTTCCAGCATTTAACTGCTAGAAGTTTTAAATGTATTGAAAATTTTACTAAAAAAAATTTCACGCGGTTCTGGCTGCAGACGGGACTCGAATCCGCACCCTTCGCTATCCGGGCGAATGCACTGACCATTATGCTACCGCGGCCCTGATGGCCGTGTCGTATTTTCTCTGGCATTTCTTAGGCTGCAAAGCAACGCAAGCTCTTCGCATTGTGAGTAACCCACAATGTCAATTGAATACCGGGTGGATGCGGGTTCGAGTCCCGTCTGCTGCCTGGTCCGCGTGGATTTTTTTTAGTATAAATTTATTTAAATTGATGTGTATTTAAGTTACAGAAGAAAAAATGCTACATAAGAATGTTTTAAAATGAATCAAGGATAATTTTTCAAAAGCTGCATAATATTATCGGTCTGGTAGTGAAAAGATACGCAAAGAGTTTGTTAGTTATGTTTAATTGTGATGTTGTGAACGAATTTTTTTTTGGTGGATAGTAAGTTCGGCAGATAGTTCTAGAGAATTGAAAAATTACCCTAAAAATTGGGAAACAGTATAGGGGGACTAAAGGAATTGGGAAAGAGAAAAGAATAGCATTGAAAAGATGATAATATAACAGATTTATGAAATGTTTCTCTAAAAATATAATACAATATAGATTTTGCTTTTAAAAATAATTAATTTGTATTGCATTTGAATGAATGTAGGTTTTATGTAGGTACTTACATGAAAATGCATCACAAATTTGCTAATATCTCTTCCATTTCTATGAATGGAAAAGATATTAACAAATTTTAGACAGGCTTGCAAATCTATCACATTTTTTTCTCTGTACTCACCTTAAGCAAGTAACTGAGGTCCAGTTTAGTGAACTCCACATACTCCGAGTTGAGTTGCATAGCCCTAAGGTGCTTATCATAAAACAGTCCTTTGCTAACTCCTATCTGTAAATAAATGGAAAATAATTAAATATCCAAATACGTGGTCCTTCGAGCAGGATTTCTACTATCAATCTACATTAAATAAAACACTTTCTCAATGGGTTTAAAATGCGTTTTCGAAGTGAAACTTCTTTACGCACGCTTGACTTGGAGGGTAAGCTGGCGAATGCGTTACGCATCACGAAAAGTGTGTTCGGGCGAGGCGAACGGGAGTTGAGTGGGGGATACAAGCAAGAGAAAACTATGCGCGCGCGCATATTCTTTCTCTTATAGCTAGTAAATGAAATATGTATATGTACAAACATGTATATATAGTAAAAATCCTCGAACTAGTGACGTGTTTTAAAATGATCGATATTTTTTAAATCATTAAAAATAACTGTTTATACAAAAAGTTAAAACTTCATGCAAATATTTTAAGAAAATTAGAGAAGACTCCTTATATGATGTACTTCAACGCCCTTCAAGCTTTATATTTTTATTTTTATAACAACCTGTACATGCAGATGAAGCTAAAGAAGTTCATTTCAGTCGTGTGGTCATAAGCACACTCGTTTTTTAATACGTTTATACATATCTCAACGTTGGGATCCTTTACAGGAGTACGCAGGAGCCTGTAAAAAATCCGCAACGTAGAGATATCTATAAAAGTATTAAAAAACGCATCTTAAACCCATTTAAACAGTGTTTTATTTAATGAGTGGTGTTCGTGAAAACATAAGAAATAAATACAACGTGTATCAGAAATAACGCACACCCTGAAATAATAATAATAAATAAATATTTCCAACACTCACCAATTTGCCTATCCCCAAAGTAATTACTGTAAGGCTTGTGTTATGGGATACTAGGGAAACGGAGGGAATACATGTTATACTGTACATGTATAAGCATATTTATATAGAAATACATATTAAACATCCATGACTGAAGTAAAAAAGCTCGTGTTCATCACACAAACATCTGCCCCAACTGGGATTCGAACCGGAACCTCTCGAGTCAGCGACACTATGAAACACGGCGTACAAACCACTCGGCCACGGAGGTGGTCAATAATAATAAAAGTAGTTTGGTTGGAATAGTCTTCTAAATCAATTTCAATAAAAAAAATCTTTAATCATTCTAAGTAAAGAATTATGACACAGTAAACAAGGTAATAAGAGCTTTTTTTTAAATGCAACTGTACACGGAATAATTTTACAAAAATTGAGATATCATCACACTGACCAATTAAACAAATACTGAAATTGATTCATTTGCATATTTGTAGCAAACTCAGGTTGTTGTGGTCAATTTTTATTTTTTAAAGCATGTAACTGCTTGATGTTTAAATCTAAAGAAAATATAACTAGAAAAAAGTCCACGCGGACCAGGCAGCAGACGGGACTCGAACCCGCACCCTTCGCAATCCGGGCGAATGCACTGACCAATTATGCTACCGCGGCCCTAACGGCCCGCGTCGAAATTCCTCTAGCCATTCTTCAGCTGCAAGGCACTTTCAGGTTGTGCGTAATTTCAGATACACGCTCGCTGTACATCAATCTAAATGTTGATTTTACACCAAGTTTATGAATTTATAGCGTTTTATTAGATATCAATGGTTCACATCATCATCAGCCTATTAATGTCCTCACTGCTGGAGCACAGGCCTTCCTTATGGATGGAATAGGAAGATTGGGCCGTGACCCACCATGCTGGCCCAGTACGGATTGGTGGGTGCTAACGACTGCAGATGTAGCCGGGACCAACGGCTCAACGTGCCTTCTGAAGCACGGAGGAACTCGAGATAGAAGATTTTTGGTCACCCATCCAATGGCCGACCACTACGAAAGTTGCTTAAATTCAACGACCGCAGCCGAACGCGCTAATCTCTTGCACCACCAAGCTCCTCATCAATGGTTATTCTGCGTTAAATCGAGTTTGCTTACTAACTTAGAACCACTGTTTCATCCCTACCAAGTTTTATTTCCTCGAAGAAACTTAAGCTTTAACATGAAGAACACAGTTGGTAGCCCCAACTGTGTCATCACGCTAATATTATAAAGGCGAAAGTTTGTGAGTGTGTATGTTTGTTACGGCATCACGTCTAAACGGCTGGAGCGATTTTAATAAAATTTGGTATGGAGTTAGCTGACACCCTGGATCAACATAAGCTACGTTTTACTGCGCGAAAATATCCCTAATTAAACCGCGGGGCACAGCTAGTTCATGATAAAGATTAAGCCGCATCTTGGTTTACCTTGAAACTTATACCGTGGAATTTTCACAAACAATGTAGATAAGTGGTGTTTTATTGCGGTTTTCTGAAAGGTGTTTAGATAAGAACTTCTTCTAGCGTAAATACCACTTACCTTTCCAAACGTAAAAGTACGCGATATCTCTGGCCTGATGCAGGCCTTCCCTCTGGTGTTTTCAGGATCCCGCAGCCAATCATCGAAGAATCTAGAAGATAAAGTGCCTTATATACCTACATCCATCTTGCTGGATCCAGTAAGCCGGACAACGCTACACATGTTAAAGAGATCCTGTATCTCCATCTCTTTTACGTGCATAGCGCTGTCCCGTATGCTGGATCCAGCATGAATGGATGGTGTATAAATAAATAAATATAAATATTTCCAACACTCACACCAATTAGCCTAGCCCCAAAGTAAGCACTATAAGGCTTGAATACATATACTGTTCATATATAAGTATATTTTTATAGAAATATGTACATATTAAACATCCATGACTGGAGTACAAATGCTCGTATTCATCACACAAACATCTGCCCCCATCGGGATTCGAACCCGGGACCTCTTGAGTCGGCGACACCATGAAACCCGGGGTACGAACCACTCAGCCACGGATATCGTCAATCAATAAATATACTATAGCAATGCAGCAAAGATATTAAATAGGGTATTTTATATATCGTTGGTGCATTGATAGATACAACAACGCTTACAAAATCGTGGCCAAAACCTGTCCAAAAGGTACATTGGACGATCCACGGAGCTCCGTAAGATGATCGCGTAGCCAAAAATATAAATCATTCTTTGGACATTGAAAGTCAACTTTAAAGCATACGGTATAAGCTCTTAATTGAAACGCAAGCGTCAAGGAGTTATGACAGTTCGAAATGCAGGCTCATAAAATTTTACGACTTATTGCTATATTCGGAAGAATATGGACCTTATTTCTTTTACTTTACGCGCAATTTAAATGCGCTTATAGCAATATAGCTGGTACGGACCGCAAGGAAAAGACGGCTATAATATCACAAATATTTTTACATTAAACCAGATTATAGTAAGTATTAGAACTAAAGGACATTGTTCTGCGTCCATACATAGTTAGCCTAAGAACCAACAATCATGAAATATTATTTTCTAGGTTCGAAATCGCAAGTAAATGACTGTAAAAATAAAGATTATTATTGACGGACACTTTTAAATTATTAGGAAAACTAAAAGTTTTTTGAGGTTATGTTTAATATTCAATGAAACATAGGTCAACCTATGAACTCAGTAAAAAGTGAATTAATATTACAACTAATTCATTTTATGCGGTGCGATTTTAAAGAATAACTATTAGGAAAAACTTGGTTAGGAATCATGAATAAAATAAAAACTGTAGTTTTGCTTCTTATTTATTGACTATTTTTCACATAATTGTATCATATTGTATTTATTTGTTTATCACATGTATATTGTGTAAATATGCAGCGTGAATGTGTATCAGGTGCTCTTGAATAATTTGGCAGTATGACCCTCTCAGGATGTTGTGGTACAGGTTCACTTGCACTTAGTAATAAGGTCTTTGGTTTATCGATGACATATTAGATAGCCGAAATAGTTAAGAGCCCTTTCACATTTTTTGCAATAAATCGCAATTTTAGAGCGCCTCGTTTGCCCCCTTAGAAGAGATTTTGACTACTTCCAATAGAAGTAAACAGTAGATTTATTCTTCCTATTGAAAATTAATGTAGAATATTTTCAAATACTATTTCCATTTTTTGTACTGATCGTTCTACCGCAGCTAGTTTACGGAAAAAACGATAATATGCACAACTTAAAACGCCTTAATCTCACAATAATGTTCAATAAATTAGATCAAATTAATTACTACGACACCAGAAATATGTTTATGTTGCAACATAATGTATTAGAATCTTGATTTTCCATCTCATTAATTATTAAAAAAACATCTAACCTCCGTGAGTTTCCCCAAAAAATTACGCAGGTTTACCTCGTATTTTTATATTGAATTAAATAGAATTACTATCAAAAACTGTTACAAAACTAATCTACAATTATTGAACTACTGAAATATGTATATAATTTTATAATAATTTCATTAATTATTATTTTATAAGACTCTGAACATCACCCGTAAAATGCAATATATAGTAGTGCAAATCTAGACGCCGTTCAGTACGGCGCACAGATCACTATATATGTAGCAAGCTAGTACGGCGCCAGCGCCTTTGGAGGTTGGACCTGTGTCGCTTTGTACCGCACGCATTCCGAGCGATGCCACGAGTGCATTCATCGTAAAACTGGCTCGATATACTACGACCGCAAAAGTTTAATCGTTGACTGTATGTAAGTTTCCACAACCGTATTAAATTTTATTATTATAAGTACCTACCTAGTTATTAATTATCGTTGCTTCAACTAATATTTTTGTTATAAGCTTTTACAATGGGGCGTAAAATTCCTGCTTACCATTGTGTCAAAAAAAGAAAACGAAAGAATGATGCAGCCATAAAGAAAGCTTGTGAAGCAAGGTGAATATGCTTATAACATTTCGTTTTTTATTTTTGTGGTGTCAATGGGTGTTTTAATTGTATAAAAATGTGTGATTTGTCCGGACTTTTCAAGTATCATTGGTATAAAATTGTAATCAGTCAAGGGTACTGTACTGTAATGGCCAACGATTTTAACTTACTGACTTAATGGGTATGTCAATCTATCCTTATGTCTATAAAAAAAGCTAGAGTGCGGTAAAATTTTGCATTTCGATCAAGTATAACAAGTATAAGCTCGTGGGCCGCCAAAGTACATATTGGCCTAACATAATAATATATTTAGAATAGAAATCCACAGTTCTATGTATTTTAGATGGAAACAAAATTTTAATGGCAACCCCGAAAATGTTGATACTATACCGACCATAAGTTCAATGGATTCGATTGCAACGGAAACTAAGTTTTTCATGTTGTTATTGGAAGTAGACAATGAAAAGAGAAATTGAAATTATAATAATAAATTTAATTATATAGGAAAAAAATGCTGTTGGATTGGAAATCGAAGCCGAAGTACAAAAGGAAGCGTCAAACTCTAATTTAAATATTTTATTTGTTTTATACTGACTTAATGGATATTTCACTACTACACTAGGTACATGGTTTACAATGTTAGCAGTTTGGTTTTATGTTTTAAACTTAAACTAATGGGATGCATTTCCAGAGCAAAAAAGTTTATTTTTAATATTTTATATTTAGACTTCTTTGCTCCATAAGTTCAATTGACAGTAACTTGCTGATTTATGTACCATATCTGTGTCTGGATTGGAAATGTATTTCCAGTATTGCCTATAACTGTTTATATGCGTAGATAGTCGATAAAAGCAGTATTGTAGTCAATTAGATAATCTGTTTTCAGGAGGAGTATATGGTTGATGGAGGACGTGTAATGATACCAGGACATTTTGCACTTGGAAACACTAGACTGGGTGTTGGACCGTCAAATATCAATATCACCTTAGCTGAAATAAGAACTTATAGAATTGACAATGAGCGAGGAAATTTCAGATGTTTGTTATTAATAAGTATTTTGTTTATTATCGTCATACTTTTATTAAAATTAAATGTATTGTGGCCCTTTGTCACCGTAATAATCCACAAAGAATAATATATTATTATAGATAACTATAATATAACCTTCATTGTAATTTACGAAAAACAAAACATCAATCATCAGTTTCAAAAAGAGACAATCATTGTAAGTGATACGTTATACTACCAGACTGCTTCCGGTTATGATAGCATCAGTGATGATAATCTTTGATAACACTGATGAGTAATTAATAGTATAGAGAATAGCAGATTTTATTGAATGTGCTTTACAGCAGCTAGTGATGGAGGAGGTGTGAACTCTCCCAGCTCCGTTTTCATATTATTTATCCTGAAATTACCATACGAGAACTCGCAGCTAAAATTTCATGAGTTAGGTGTGTAAGAGATGAGTTCCTATGAAAGTTAAATGCTTTTGATGGGTTTTGTTTAAATGAATGGAAATTACACGACTAAAAAAAACATGCTTATTATTTTTTATCAAATACTCATACAGATATATTGAAAATACAGAGTGCGAAAACTTTTTTATTAAATGAACTACGAAGGCAAAGACAAAACTACACTTAGTACAGTTTTACTGATATTTGATTATTACCAAACATCAATCATCATTCAAAAAGTCAATACTAAAAATACAAGTAAATAAAATATTATTTCTCATTGCCATTCGAAAAAGGGATTTTATTCAGCGATAACAGTGAACAAACTTTTCATTTAATTACTTAGTGAATAAAAAAAATTTGAACAAACAGAAGTTATGCAAATCATACATATAAAGTTACAATCATTAGTAATAATCATAATTAATCTTTATTGTCATTTCCAAAACGCAACCAATGAGTATTATAAATATATTATTTATTTTCTCACAATAGTAAAAAAACTTAATCCTTGTATCCTTTGCTCCACTCAGGATTCCTATCTAGAATCGTTCGTTGCTACAGTAGGGATCCATCTTAGCACTTCAAATTAACTTTATTTTATATTTGCATTTATTGTATAATCAATAATTGCATATTAAAGTATCAATTTGGTAAAGCGCGCTATACTGAACTTCGGCCGCGTCGATGTCTCGCTCGTGCGACTCGGACACGCTCCCGGTCATATTTACCTAAACTAGAGCGACGCAATTTTGTAAAAGGGCTCTTAAAGGAAAAACAATCGTAAATAAACACACACAACAGGTAATTCCAAACGAGAATGCACTTTCCGGTATATTAAACTACTCTTTGGAAAGCACGTATGCCACAGTCACAGATTACTATTACTGCGATGCAAACTGCCTGCACCACAACCACAGAGTATCGACTTTTAAGCCGGCCCTTCACTTGACAACAGTTTGTAATTGTCATGCTTAATAAGGAATGAAAAGGACAGACTGATGTCACGTTTTAAAATAGCCAAGTGAAGTGCCATTAGGAAGAAAGAGTGTTTTGTTTGCAGCGCTGTCATAGTTTATACACATAAAATGGTATTTAATGTCTCTGTTTTTTTTAACTTTTTAATTTAGCTTACTTAATTGGAAGTGTCCGTCACAATCTAAATACTGATAATTATCGCAAAAAATATACTAAGAATTATCATAAATGCCAAATTGGTGTTGGTTCTTAGGCCAATTTTAACATTGTCCTTTGCTTCAAATGCGTTAAATTAACAAACATTGATTAGATACCTGTCGAAAAACGACACTTTACGAACTATAAGTGTTTTTTTCGAATTGTTTCACGGAGCTCTGCGGCATGTTGACTTTTCAACGGTCCGCGCGTGACTGTGAGCCAAGAAGTGCTTGAATGATGTTCAAGCACTTCTTGATTGGAACATTATTTTCAGCGAACGTGGTGTATCTAGGGTATTTAATATCGTTGCAATGCACGTATAATATTAATTCTTTGGAAGAGACACTGATTTCTGTAACACAGGGTTATTATCCTAGCATAGAAATCAGGGTATTCAATCTTTCATGTACCTACTTTTGTTGAGCAATATATTTATTATCTATTTATACATCTTTACATATAAATAAAATTGGAGTGTCTGTTTGTAATATTAAAATAACCGCTTTGTACTACATGCATATGAATATATATACGGTACACACACCAAAATAACATTTTTTACAATTTTTGACGTGACAACGTCTTAAATTAGGTTGCGGCTGGGAGTCACTTATGAAAAAGTGTAACGCTCGGTAACGTTACGATGAGTCTCTCGTGTTAAGTTTAAGTTTACATGTACAATGTTTTAGTAAACAAAATATATTTCTATAGTTAAAATTTGTGCAATTCTTATTTTCATTCAATTCCTTGTTCCTATTGTGCAATTTAATTATATTCATATCAATAAATATTCTACCGAGAAAAAGACGTTGTCACGTAAAATCTTCGCCCGTAAAACCGACTTTACAGGCAACCATTTTTGTCTGTCTGTTTGTTCCGGCTAATCTCTGAAATGGCTGGGCCGATTTTAAGGAGTGACTTAGGCTACATTTATTTTAGAAAAATTCTTTTTTTTATGAAAAAAAAAAACTAAAAGTTAACGCGTACGAAGTCGCGGGCGGCGGCTAGTTATTAATGTAGTGGGTGGGTACTCACGCCTCCGGCCATTTTTGCTCAAGATCCAGCCAGGTCTCCTTGCGCAGAGTCCATCCGAGGCCGGGGAAGAAGTCGGTGCGGTGCAGCAACTCTGGATGGGACAAGTCTATCACCTCTTTTTTGCCGTTATCATTCCATGCCGATATGCACCTGATGGTAGGGACTTTTGTAAGCGACTTGCGTTTGCCTAAGATCGTTTTTTAGAATATGGATAAATAAGGATCTGAACTGAACCATCTTGGCTGCACACACAAAAAAACCAGATTATTTTCATATCCTTTTTTATTCGACAGGCCAACTTATTCCGTATTGTAAATATTAAATTATCATCATCAGCCTATTAATGTCCCCACTGCTGGGGTACAGGCCTTCCCTATGAATGAAATGGGGAGATTGGGTCATGACCCACCACGCGGACCCAGTGCGGATTGGTGGGTGCTAACGACTGAAGTTACAGCCGGGATCAACAGCTTAACGTGCCACGAAGGAGCTCGAGATAGTAAATTGTGGTCACCCATCCAATGACAGATCACTGCGAAAGTTGCTTAACTTCAACGATCGCAGCCGACCGCGCTAACCACTCGCGCCATCGAGCTCATCAAATATTAAATACGAAAGTAATTATATCGAGTTATAAAGATAAGCAATTTAATAAAATTGCGTAAACTCGATATAAATATCAATCTTCCCTCTATGGATTTTTTTATAGTTTCGGCATGTCCGTCTGTCTGTCCGCAGATTAGTTCAGAGACCTTTATTACAAGAAAGCTGTAATTCGGCATGGATAAAATAAGTAACGCCGCCAAAAATAAAATCATATAATCCTTAAAAGTAATAATTCCTAAATGTATAATAACGAATAACGCATTAAAAATGAACAAGTCAAAACTCTGCGACTGACACAACACGCAATCGGCTGTTTTTGTATTAAAGAGTGGAGTAAATTACTGAAATTTTAAGTGTCACGGTCTGGTCCGTGTATGCCTGTTGGCCCCATTCCGGGGACAATGGGACTTCGATCTTTACCTTTGTCCCCGTTTTGGATATACACGGTTACTCAAGTTGCACATATCGTTGCCTCCATCTCCATTAAATACATTTTTTATTGTACCTAACGAACTGAAGTTAGGCAGCAGACGGGACTCAAACCAGCACCCTTCACTATCCGGGCGAGTGCACTGAACGTTATGCTACCGCGGCCCTAATCAGCTAAATAATGCTCAGTGCATTCGCTAGGCTGCGTGGATTTTTTTCTAGTAAAATTTTATTTAGATTTAAACATCTAGCAGTTAAATGCTAAAAAATTAAAATATAACTCTGTATAAAGAAGCTATCTCGTATTTTTTTCTCAATAGGAGATAAAGTACTGAAAAGGGCGAAATCAATGGGAATGATTTATAATGGCGAAAACTGTTGAGTCATTAACTCACTTAGTCAACCTATTCTACATCGGGCATAAAAAACTAAAAACTGAGTGAGTAGCGATAATTTTTTTTTGTTCAGTATAATTATTAGAGATGCACCGAAAATAGTTTTACATTCGGTGTTACCGAAGTTCGACAGCTTTTAGCGAACTTCGTATTTGGCCGAATTTCGGTTAGATGATCCGAACGTCTTAAATGAAATAATGGAAATGGTATAATAAAATAATGGAAAAGTGAATAGAAATGTATTTTAAATTTAAATCTTGATCAAATGATGATTTGTAAGCAAAAAGTATAACGTGGATGTTCGTTCATGTTTGTGTTTATTGCCTTAGACAAGAAAAACAACAAGTTTAAAAAATATTTTGACTTTTTACTGTTACAAATTAATATTTTATATTAGTTACTATTTGTAGACATTTCGTTGATTGAGCAAAAGTACGCGAAATTTAACCGAATTAGGAAACATTTTTCAACGTTCGTTTATAAAATTCGGGCGAATGCGACATTCGGCAAGATTCTTATTCGGCGCAACACTAATAAAATTATTGTATATAATTATTGGAACGTAATGTTAAAACAGCTGCGTAACTTGAAAATAGTATTAAATACATACCATAGACTGTGATCTTTTAGCAACAGCGGATATGTCCCCAGGAAGTATTCGAAGAAATCCGGGGATATATCCAAGTCATCTACGGACAAAAAGCATTATAATGAAAACCATACAAAAAGCCGGACAAATGCTAGTCGGACTGGCTTAGGGTTGCCAACCCTACTATATATTATCTATACTATATTAGGGGATCGTACTATATTAGGTGATGAAAAACTATATTTCTAAAAAAATATAGTAGGCGAAACTACTATATTTTGCTTAAAATTTTTATTCTTTAATTTCTATTCTTCCAACAGGAAGATATACCAGTAATAATAGTAACCGTATATCCATAGAAGTATTATACATAAACTAACCACGTGAGGTGAGGCGGAGTGGTCGGGCCGCGGGAAGCTTACGGTTTGCGCAGCATCCTAGCCTAGCTAGTTTGGTAATTTATCCCAGATGTGAATTTTGATTGGTTATAGGATGCGTAAGCAACGACAGTTTTTTTTTTTCATAAAAAGAGGAGGTTAAAAATTTACTAGGTACATCAACAAATGGTTTTGTTTCTCCGGGTTTGAGCTTCAAGATTTTGGAAACCTAGGAGTCAGTCGAGGGGCCGACTGCTAGAGGTAGCATGACTTTGGTGTGAGCCCTGATTGGTTCGATTGTTTGATGTTGCGTCGTTTTGATTGGTTAGTATTAAACATTTGAAAGAAGAAATAGCCTGGTCCGCATAGATATTTTCCTAGGAAAATTTTCTTTACATTGAAACATCTAGCAGTTACATGCTTAAAAATCACAAATATAATTGATTAGTTCTTTATAAATACTCCTGTATAACATCTCATCTTTTCAAGCTTTCGCGGAGAGCCATTTTGTACTAACAACGAAATCACTACAATTAATTGTAACGCAAATCTTACACCGCCCCGATTTCGTGTCAAGAATTACTGTCAATTTGATAATTATATCGACTTAAAAAAATATCCTGGTTTCTCAACACAATTGTCATTAAAGTAAGACACGGATAATTATAACAAAATACCTGACATTATTTGTGATATCATTATCAGCCTACTAATGTCCCCACTGCTGGCGCACAGGCCTTCCCTATGGATGAAATAGGGAGTTTGGGCCATGACCCAATACGCGGGCCCAGTGCGGATTGGTGGGTGCTAACGACTGCAGATGCAGCCGGGACCAACGGCTTAACGTGCCTTACGAGGCTTACGAAGCACGGAGGAGCTCGAGATAGTAAATTTTTGGTCACCCGTCCAATGACCGACCACTGCGAAAGTTGCTTAACTCTAATGATCGCAGCCGAACGCGCAAACCACTTGCGCCATCGAGCTCCTACTTCTTTGTGATAATGTGATGGTGAAATATGTCGACTTATTGAAATAGGACGCCCGTTCGCTCGACTGCCTTCGAAGGCAATAAAAAAAAATCCCATTTAATTAAAAACATTCACCTTCAACAATGATAACGGCGTGGTGTCCCAAAGTCTTGAAGACGTGGTTCAACGCGAACCTGTAGTGCCGCGCTATCTTGTAGTATCCCCTGAACTTGACTTTCACTCGAGGCAAGGGGATCTCCGAGAGATCTGGTTGCTGTACCACGCTGATGGACGGGTCGGCGTCAACGAAGTTCTTTATCACTTGGTACGTGGCGTTGTGACCGCAGTCCTGATGACAAATTTACTTTTCATCATCATCACCATCATCATCAGCCTATTAATGTCCCCACTGCTGGGGCACAGTCCTTCCCTATAGATGGAATAGGGAGATTGGGCCCTGACCCGATTGGTGGGTGCTAACGACTGCAGATGCAGCGGGACCAACGGCTTAACGTGCCTTCCGAAGCACGGAGGAGCTCGAGCTAGTAATTTTTGGTAACCATCCAATGACCGACCACTGCGAAAGTTGCTTAAGTTCAACGATCGCAGCCGAACGCGCTAACCACTTGCGCCATGCTATGACCTTATTCGTACTAGATTTCACTATCGACATGATGTTGGCATTGCATGCGAAGGTTACTGATGCGTTGTTTGTAAAGCTGACTTTTCATACAAATGTGTTTACAAAATACTGTTTCAGCTTTCATGGTATGCATAGATACATAAGTTTGCACACCTGGCCTTGCTTGTGTTAAAAGCACCTTAGAACGACAACCTGGTAAGGCACTATTGAAAATTTTGGTTGGGGATTGAAAGATTTGACTATACATTTAGAGCATTGCATTCTTTAGAGCGACAATATTCATCTGGTATCTAATAAACCAGCTAAATGTAACGAAATTCCTTTGGATCGGTCAAGCTTATATATCAGCCGATCAAATATTGTCATGGCTTTAGAACAGGGATGGGATGGATTTTTCCTTATCGTGCCCATATTTACTACCAGAATGTATAGCGCACCAAGTTCAGCCAGCTCAAACAGCAAATACGCCTCTGAGACCTCCTCAGGTTCGAGTGGTCTAGAGGTTCCAGACGGAGAGGAGACTCCCCCCGTGGGGAGATGCCATCCGCCTGGAACACTTCTAGAGACACTCGCCAATTCTCGGCTTGAGGTCCCCTAAGCTTCTTGCCGTCCCCAAACCCGGTGACGCTGTAAAGGGCATCTGCGACCAACAGCATAAACACTCAAAAAAATAAGATGCCCCTGAGTTTGCTGCGAACTCCGATCAACAATTAAAGTCAGATACACCGACAGAAACATTGTTTGTTCGGTAGTTATTTTTACAACTTTTGAATGCAGATTGTGGCATTGTGACGCGTGCTTGCATTGGCTTTGTATTAACCGAACTAATTGAAAATAAGATTTCACGCCTCAAGTCAGCCTATATTTACCAAGACGGATTTAACGTGCTGACCCGTTACCTATCTCTAGTATTGTTGATCGAAGGTTGATGGTAAATAGATACCAGGTTCGGCAGCGGGGTCCTGGTCCTTGTAGAAATATGTGAAAAAAAAATAACTTTTTGGTGAGAACCTTTCAAATTTTTCCATAACCATAACCATTCGAGGGCCGGAGATGGCCCGCGGGCTAGTTTGCCCACCCCTTTTTTTTGTGACACAGGCAAAACTCTATTTACAGACGACAGCGCCTATAAGAGGCACACCGCCGAACGGACCTCACACCGGGCTCCCGCAAGCCACCCGTAAGGCGCCCCGCAGTGGCTGCCCACTGAAGTTCCTGCAACTCTTACGGACGCTTTACGGCATAATATCCGCTAAAAAACCCTGCGAATACCCTCTTAAGATGCTAAGTGCGAAACCGCGGGATCCCCGTTTGGGGATTCTGCCGCGTCTCCACACCCACAGCCTCCCGGATTAGCCGGGGCTCCACGGAAGGGGTCGCCCGGGGCACTGCGGGGACCCCGCAGGATGGCCGGCGCGTGGGGGCTGAGTACGCGGCCTAGTGCCCACTGTACCACCCCTCGCCCTGAGGTAGAGTGTTGTGTTTTTCTGTCCCTGTCTAAAGCCCATTGTTAAATACCCCATTTATTGATATCATGTTTTGTTCTAATTAGAAATTACTATCTCTGTTAACCTCTGGCTGTTTAATATACCGTTAAATATAAAGGAAACGGGGGCTAACGAACCTGGCTCACTATTATAGGAAAGGTCTCTTTACTCGGCCGGAATTTCACTAGATTGTCCAGACACCGCTTGACAGTCACACGATCGCAAGCTATTAGCAATACCGGCAGGACAAGGTCACCTGTGAACAAGGAAAAAGGGTCAGTTGTACTGTAATAATCACACTAATATTATAAAGGCGAAAGTTTGTGAGTGTTAGTGTGTATGTTTGTTACTTCTTCATGTCTAAACGGCTGGAGCGATTTAAATAAAATTTGGTATGGAGTTAGCTGACACCCTGGATTTAACGCTACGTTTTACTGCAGGTAAAATATCCCCCTAATAGTGATATTCGATATACATCGATGCATCGAAAACATCGATGTTTGCAATGAAAAACATCGAATCGATCCGATGTTTTGAAAAGCTTTCAATATACTCGATGCATCGATGTTTTAAAGAAACATCGAATTGGTAATAGAGTTTGACCACGTAGTGATAATATCCTCTTTGATTTGACCTCAGTAAAAAAACTTAAGTTTGACCACTAAAATTTTACTTATTACTATTATGAAAGCATCATTATTCCGAATTCTCTGATATGGACCCGATGTTGGCAGCACTGCGCAAGAGTCAGTGCAGTGACAATAAAAAATAACTACGGGTTTCTATGTTTATGAACATTTAATAACTTTTAGATTTTAAATACTTTTTCTTTCTTTCTTTCTTTAGTTTTGTGAACGAAACTAAGATTGAAGTATATTTCTAATATTCTTTTGACAGACTTAGCAAAAATTTTGCGGGTTATTTAGTGTTTTTTTAATTTGATCTTTTGTAAAAAAATATAATACAGATTTTTTTGACACATGGCTTTTACTTGTATTTACTTTTACCTACTCATTATGAAAGGAGTTAATTCTTTTATTTTATGAAAGATTAATATATAAACTATAATAAAATTATGGATTAAGGTCTTTTCATAAACTTCAATAGTATTTTTTTCTACTATGAAAAGATGGCCTCTTTTGAAATGGGTCACTTAACACATAAGTTGAGTTTTGTAATAAAATTTCAGAAAAAATACTCGATGTTTAAAATACATCGATGTTTTCATCCGATACATCGAATGACATCGATGTATAGTTGCGATGTATCGAATCAAAAAATACATCGATGTTTTTTCAGAGTGGACACCCCTACCCCCTAATAAGCCGCGGGTAATACCGCGGGGCACAACACATAATTAAAGAAGGCACATATATTATTAAGCTATTTGACAAATCTGTGAAAACGTTCATACGTTATTTATTAGTATAAAGCGATGCTATAAAAAGTGGATATTTATAATTCTGCTGCGTACCTATATCAGAAAAAATAGGTAAATTAGAAATTCTGTTTTGTAATATGCCGCGGAAACGTTTCTCTGGCAAATCACGATCGAATGAATTGCTTTGGGATTGGAACGCATGTGGAATAGGGCAAAAATAGAGAAAAGAATTTTTAAAACATACAAGTCATTCTTTTGGCTTTTGACAGACCCTTGTATGTGGTGCTTCAGTGTTCAAAAGAAGACGACACGTACAGTGTTAAGATTCAGTTTCTGTGCGATAAATTATTATTTAATCTCTAATAAATCGGATGAGCTCAATTTATCGCAGAGCACGGTCCACCTTTGACACCAGCACTCTGAAACTGGGTGAATTGGTTAACAATACGCACTAAACAGATTGTGCGTGAGCGACTATTGAGTACGATAGGGACATTAGCCTCGTCACATTTGACCGATTCTTTGTGGGATCCGATCCAGTACCCGCTTGGTTTTTGGGTTCCATACATTGAATGTGACAATGAAATGAAATGAAATAACTTTATTGCTTAAAAAACTGAGTACATTTATGCAGTTGAAATTGCAGTAATAAACATATCACAACAGTGTGCCCACAACGGGCAAACAATGGTAAAATTTATAACTTAAAACTATCTTCAATTAAAAATTACATTTTGCTAAGGTAGCAATCTCTACCAGGCAACCTTTGGCGAAATGAAACCATACCATGAAAATAAAAGAAACTGCGGGCTAGTGCATTTTAAAAATAAATAAATAAACGTAAATACAAGAATATAAAAATAGTAAGTATATAAGGAAGCTTTAAAATATAATACAAAGTAACTAACAGATAAAATGAAAAAGATCAGACAGTCCAGCTTGAGGATATATTCCTTAATTTTACTCCTTCTGCTTCTGCGACTCTTCTGCTTTATAATATAAGCATACATTTAGCTGTTTTTTTTTGAGGCAGGCCATAGCGGATTCGTTGCAGAGCAGATGCAGAAAAACCAGTGTTGCCATGGTGAGTAAAGTTTTGCAGGGCTCATATATCGGTACCCTTAGCACGAACCATTATCAAATTCGAATAGTTTTCGAGTCCGAAATGTCAATGTCAAATTTTATTTAGAAACTTGAACCGCAGCGCTACAAAGGATGTAACGAGAACTTAAAATCGGTACACATTTGACAATGACATTCCGCCCTCTCAAACGATACGAATTCGATATTGGTCTCTCTACATAAGTATATTTACATACGATATTTCACCAGATATTATGTCGTTGTAATAATATCTACCTAGATAATATTACAAATTATCGGTGAATATTTCAAACAGAAATCATCCGCCCACTATTTTGTTATCTAAGAAAACTATGTGTTTTAAATTATGTATCCATTATAAATTAATGTATTATTGTAGGTATATTAGAACCTTTGGGTGTCATCCTAATGGGCCACGATCGTACGATGACACGAATGCGAGGTCGTCGTGTGATCAGTATATGTCATACCACTACCACTCAAAATAATTGGACCACAATTTCGGTCCCGAATGCCCCCTCAAAATAATTTAGTAATTCCTTGTCCCCATCAGGACCACCAGTGCGGGTCCCAATCAGACCCCTCTTTCCCAGTGGGCACTTTGGGCAAGTGCCCAGGGTCCCGCAATCGATAGGGGCCCCCCTCAGATCAAATACAAAGTCCCTAGTTCCTGTTAAATCACCAAACGGGGGTCCGAGGAGCCCCATTATCCTGATATGCCCAGGGCCCCCAATAGGCCAACACGGCAGTGTTCCCAAATGACTACCGACTCTAAGACCTATGCCAGACGGATGTAATCCAGGCTCCCAACAAAGGTGACCGTTGCCATCCATATAGACGAAGGATGTAATCCAAATTTTGATTTGACTTTCAACGTCCTTGGATTACGGGCGTGTGTTTCCATCCGCGGTTGGAGCGCGTGGATTACAACCGTTTGACCGGCGGATTACATCCAACCAAAGACAACCACATACCCATCGTACTATAGTTATTAAACAGTGCCTGTGCTCGTGCGACGGCTTGTGAAATGTAATTAGGACACTGCTACATAAATCAGTATGTTTGAAAAACATCGCACGTCGAGAAATCGCCGATCGTTATAGTTGTTCTTGATTGCTTTAAAGCTCACTAAAATCTAGGTACTTACATGGTAACAATCTCGTAAATACCATAAATTACTATTAATGTTAATGATCATTAAAGTTTTGTAATGTTTTCGATAAGAGCTCAATAATTATTGGTAAAACAAGTATGTTAAGTATTTATCTTTTCAGGGCCAATCGCCTAACGGGATTACTATCGCTTACGTTTCTATTTTGTTATTTCTGACCGCCGAAGGTTTTCAAATAACTCACGCTGTTTTTTTAAATATTGTTATTAACAATGCAAGGCATTGGAAAACTTTCGGCGGTCAGAAATAATCAAATGAAATCGTAAGCTATAGCGATAGCAATCCCGTTAGTCGATTGGCCCCCTGGTGCAAACGAGGTTTGTTTCACGAAGCGCATGCATGCTCACTGCGAACTTTTTATCGAAATGCAGATGATATAAATAAATTGGAAAATCCAAAAGTGCACGCTCAAATTCACAAAACAGAAAGCCAGTAAATAAATTACATTGAATTTCATTAATATCTTTAAAACGGTTATCAGTTCAATCATGATAAGATATAGGGTGCATCCTCAGTATAAGTGGAAATTAATTCAAAAGGATTTATTACAATTAATTGCGTATATTTTTCTAAAACGTGCAGACAAACAAGTGCACAGACCAACGGACAGCAATACTAATATTTTTTTTGTTATATATACTAAAAAAATAAATGATAAAATAAGCTGACTTTATAATTTAACATGTCTAGTTTCTATGGGCAGCTGCCCCCCCCCCCCCCCCTGGAAAAAGTAGCGGTAGCGAGTTGCGAGCGACTAGCATAGGAGGTACACATGCCTGTAGCTTGCATACTTCTTACTCCTCCTTGCACATGCTATTTACTGTCATACTCATGTGTATTCGCTAATTGGTATGCCTGTACCTGGCAAGCAAGGAGCTAGCACTGCAAGTTGAGGGAGGGACGCGGGGGGGGGGGGGGGGACTGTAATGTAGCCGTAGTATGGTGGTATGGTTTATGTAACCACCAGCATCTTCTTGACGCATTTCTGTAAGCAGACAACTACTTGCTCCAATATTTTCTCCAGCTCTCACCCAAATGCGTCTTCTGCTTTTCTTTTTATCTCTCATTAATTTAGCTACACATTCAATTGCTAGTATCAATACGATACTATTTAATTCACTTCTTCAGTTATCCATTTTCCTAACTGTTTGGTGCGTAAGATGTATGTTTCACTCGAGTTTTTGCCAGTGACTGTATCAAAAACTATCCATGCAAATACAGGCATGCAAGTATTTTTTTAACATTTTTTTTGTATGCCGTACACACTAGACTATATAGGCACTCGCGGCTCAAAAGTGATCTGCTCTAAATTGTGGTGCATGACCACAATTCGCTATAGTTACATACAATTGGACTCCAACCAAACACGAGGCATGTGCACTCAGTGTAACAATATTGCATATATTCTGTGTTATAAAGATAAAACAATGCAATGAATAAATGAATTGGAGTTTTTGAGCATGTTCTGCAATACCCACAAAAAACCCACATTATATACCTATTTTTTGTGAAATCTGTGGAAGAGTCTGCCGTGCGAACTTATCGCATAGCTGAAAGCCATGAGCCGATGGGACGAGGCACTCGCTCATGCCGATGCTGGCCACTGGACCATAGAAGCTCTTCGACCGGTATTGGAGGAGAAGGTGGGACGCCGGCGCGGCGGCCTCACCTTCCGCATGGTGCAGATCCTGACCGGCATGGTTGTTTCGGCCACTATCTGCACCGGGGCGCCTGTCGGGAGGAGACGTCGCGGTGCCACCACTGCGACGCTTCTGACGATACGGCCAAACACGCCTTATTGGGGTGTTCGGCCTGGCAACGACAGCGCCGCGAGTTAATTGCGGCGCTAGGATGCGGAAACCCCAAGCCGTCTCATTCTGCGAGTGCATCATTTCGCAGAAGGAGGCGGCTGAGAGGGATCGGAAGGATAATCCGCTGGCCGCTCCCTGCCGCCGCAGAAGGACAGGAAGGGGAAGGCGAAGGCGTGCCCTGGCTGCGCTCACCCAGTAATCCCCCAACCTGAGTGAATCTCTTGCTGCCCGACATGGCGTTAGCCATGCCGGTCACCGACGGGTTTCGTGACGGCAGCCTTCTCTTGTAGTTGTCCGCACGTCTGCGGGATCACCCGAGATACCCCCGGTGATCCCTGCCGTGGAGCCCCGGCTAGGCCGGGAGGCTGTTAGGTGCGGAAACACGGTAAAGTCCCTCAACGGGGATCTCGCGGATCCGCACTTAACAGCGTAGAGGGGTATTCGCAGGGTTTTTTAGCGGATTGTATGCCGCTCGTAAGCCGCGCGGACTGCTTAACGGCTCTTCCGATTCGCACCCGTGAGAATTGCGAGAGGCTAGGTGTGTGGAAGAGTCTAATGATTATTGTAGAAGTACTAGTGGCGACCCGCGAACTCGTCTGCATTTACTTTGTATTTTTTTAAAACTCCTCAGTACCCTAACATTTTTTTTGGGATAAAAAGTGTCTTATGTCTCATCCCAGGTCATAAACTATATGCGTACCAAATTTCATCCAAGTCCATTGAGTACTTTATGCGTGAGTAAAAAATCATAGAAACACACACAAACATACAAACTTTACATTGATTATATTAGAAGGATAGGTTTTGTTAAGTAATGAAAATGTGATAATAACATCATGAAGCTAAACCATGACTGAATGCAGATGGAAAACAAAGAGGAAAATAATAAAATATATTAATTAGTTATCGTACATATACCTACACTGTTTAAACAGTTGTTTTAGTTTAGACCAGCTTGACTATATTATTATGATAAAAACATATTGTTACAATGTTTAATTTTCGTGTTTTTGTCACTTGAACCAATTCAATGCCACTTATTATGCCTTTATAATATTTTGCCTTTTAGCTTACATCAAATTACAATATTGTATGATAGTGATACCATCATATTCATGGTATCTTAATGTAATAGATAAGGTAAACATAGCAAGATATGAAGAAGCAAAGGAATACGTTTTAAAAGGAGTAATCAAAACCTATATTAATAATATATAATGGCTCAGATACAAGACGACACCAGACATTAGATATATATATACTTCAACTGTCTCTGTGTGTCCATTGCCGCTAAACTTGTTGCAATTGTTGTGATGATGTCGCTCAGTGTCTGTGACGCAGCCATGGAGGCAGACAGCCAATACACTTGAACTGGTACACTAGATGTTTACACTAATATTGACACAAATATTGCTTACCATAAGTACGCAATCGACACCATTGTCGATTTGTTTCGAGGGTCAGTGTCATTGTGTATCTGAGGCATTACACATTATGAATTTAGATTTATTACAGAAATGACCTTGGCAGCTTTTCAGCCAGTTACCAACATTCTATTTTTTTACAATTGGAATCAATTTAAAAACCAGGGGGCTAATCGCCTTATGGGATAGCTATGGGTATCCCTTACGATTTCATCTTATTATTTCCGACTGCTGAAAGTTATCCTTTGTGCTCTTTTTTTTCTTTTGCATTGATAATAACAATATTAAAGAAAATAAGCATGAGATATTTGAAAACCTTCGGTGGTCAGAAATGAAAATTAAAATGGTAAGCAATTATCGCTTAAGATTGGCTGCTAGGTCCCAGGATGCTCTACAGACTGGGATATAGCTGATATATACTAAGATTCCATATAAATTATTATTAGACAGACAGAAACAGTTAATTATCTGTTGTTTTAACTGCCTGCCTACATTATCTATAATAAAACGAAAACAATAGTAAAACTACTACTCCAATACATTGAGGATACAGACAATTTACATAATTCATCAAGTCAGGTCATTACTGGATGTTTGTAGTTTGAGGTTTTAAGTTGTTATGGAATAAAAAAATATGGGAAATGGTAGTAATTTCTCATAGGAAATACAAAACAAAATAATCAACTTTAAAAAGATTGAAAAAAGCGGCCAAAAATATCCACTTACTTGGAGATTCTATTTCGTTATCTTGAACAAATTCATGGTTATTTTCTTCTTCAGTCTTTAACTTCAAATTCTGCTTTACTCGTTTCAATAGCATGTCACTTTCTGTCATCTGCTGGTCCATTTGTTTTTGGAGATTGCTTAGCCTTATTTCCAAGCTGTTAACGTTGTTTCTCCCACTTGTTCCCGGCTCTTCCATGATTGACGAATACGATAACAAAACGTAAGTTATTATTAAAATTGCAGCTGCTACTGTCAACTTTTTATAGTTGAAACGCATTTTAACAATGTTTATTGAGCGATTTATGTGAAAAACGTGTTTAAAACGGTATTTAGATGATCATACGTGTACCACGTCCGTAGAGTTTATCGCAAATGACTGACAACAAACGTAAACAACAGACGTCGTCCCAATAAGTTTTTACTTTTGCAAATCTATACATAAACACCAAATTACACACACGCTACTGGATCGCGACGATGCACTGACTATATGCGATTATGTGTTACTGCAATCAATTGTACTTTATAATATATTTTGATAAATATCTCAAATTCTTCCACGAAACCACACAACATGAAGGATGAAGGATCACTGACTGATCACTCACAGAGTACTATCAAGTATCAATCAATCAAAACAGCCACAGAGTGCACGTTTTTAAATAGGAAAAACGAAACGCATTCACCCGAATTGCCAGTCTGGGCTTCTATTCAGCATTAGGCGAATTCATAGTAGATACAAAAAAAATACTATTCATCAGAACTGTAGGCCTATTTGCTAACTGATTTTGACAGATGGAAGTGATAATCACCGAGCTATTTAGTAATCTACTACTACTTTATTATAACGCCAATAATATATTTCGTTCTGAAAAGCATCGATGCAGATGGAATTTTATCTTTAATGGAACACTGTAAATGTCAAAAAAGTTAGCGAATAGGCCAGCTGAGGACAATTACAAGTATTATAGAATATTGACCCTGTTATTCATCGGCTAAAATTCATTTTTCATTGTGAAATGCACGAAGTACAACCTGTGTACAGTGAAATATTCTCTGCAGATGCCCTTTGCCTCGTTCTCACAACATAAATTAAAAATGCCCAATTTATTTCTTTAATTAACTACTGATTATTTAAATGTTATTTTACTAAATTGAGGTTATCATGTTATAATGAATAGATTTTGAATATTAAATTATCGGTCAAATTGTTAAAAAAATTATAGTGGTCACTCTTAGGGTACGGCCACAGTGCACGCAGGTTCAGAATCAGATTCAGACTCAGAAAACAAGCGCGAGAAATAAACAGTGTAGTTTAAGCAGAGTGGCCATAGTGGCAGCAGGCAACTGGTTACCCGCGCAGGTTTCGGAGTCAGGCATTTTACCGGAATGTTTAGGTCATTCTTGTTTCATATTCTGAATTCACTAGCGCCGCTCGGACTGCAGGTAGGGTTGCCAACCCTACTATAAAATATAGTATCCTACTATATTAGGGGATCAAATACAGTGAAATGACAGTAAAAGCTTTCTTAAAAAATATTAGAGATTGTTATTATGATATTAGTAAGGCAAAGAGCAGCAAAAATATATTAATTTAAAAAAAAAAGTAAATATTATAACCACATAATTAAGAATATTTTTTTGCCTGCTACTATATTTTTAAGAAGTAACGCTTCGAATATTGCTAACCTAAATTGCTGAAGTTGGTAACCCTAACTGCAAGTTATAGTTGTTTAAGTAACTTTTTTTTGGTTGTGTTATAAACAAATGTTTAGTGCCTTGCTTCTTGTTTGCGATCTACTCTTGTTTCCTAATTTATATAGGGTGAAATTGAATGTTTCTATGAAACTTCGTGAGATTGTTGGGTTATGTGTATAGAGTATGCCTGTCTTTTTTCGGATTTTTTTGAAGTATATTTTTTTCATGTATTTATTTATAATTTGTGTATTTTTATGTCCTTTCCTCGTTTTGAGTAGTTATTCATTTTAAACAAACAAACTTACATATCCAGTGAAAAACCACTAATAAATAAGCACTTCTAAAAAACGGAAAAACATTGAAATTCCACCGCGGGTCAACGACCGACCGCGCCCGCCAGCCGTTGAGTAAGTAGCTACCTAACTCTAACCAGAGCTCAACTGACTCGTTTGATTCCACACAATAGGTACAATAAAATCGTCTTAGATGCCTTTATTGAAATTGAAATAATAAGCACAAATGTCATCTTTTCTTAAGCAGAGAAAAACTTTAAAAGTTAATAATAATTTTGTCACGATTGGAAATAGGCAAATGTTAAACAAAAAGAAATACTTATTGCTTAATACCCCAAGAATGAAATTTATAACCAGGTATTCAAAAGTACTTACGAGACCGGCGATTTAGGTAGGTACAACGAGGAACGAGGAACATATTCATTTTTTTCACTAGAACTTTTTATCAAATCAATCACACTGGTAGTACACAATTAGTTGTTTCTAATCAAAAAGTATTTACACTAGCAATAAAAAGAGACTTAAATTATTATCTGCAAAATTGTTGCTCTAAACCACCATTTTGCTGCAAACAAAGGTTGCCTGTTTGCGGACGTGTCTTTTCACCTTTTTTAAAGTGTCCCTATCACTACTCACTGCACAAAATGCAACTTCTATGGTTTAGGGACTCATTCGTAAACCAAACCTACTTCGTCACACTCGCGATAGCAGTACACCATCTCTAAATATTCTTGGTTTGTATACCGAGGCATAATGAAATTATCACAGTGTATGTCACCAAGTCAAAAGATGCGCACGCTCACGCGCGATTAATATACTTGCGACTGCGTTTTGCATGCAATCAAAGCAAACGTCCGCGTGCGGGGAAGAGGGGAGGTGGGCGGAATTCACATCATCAAAGACGCCGCAACCGGCGCTAGTTGCCAGCGTGCGGCGCGCCGCCGCCCGCCCGTGCTTGCCGCAAAACAACATATTATCATGTGTGTGTGTGTGTGTATGTGTGACTGTGGCTGTGATTAAATGTGTTCGGAATTTCATGACGTGGGCAAATCAGACACGAAGAGTTCCTTCCTTCCCTAAGCTCGTAAGTTATACCGATTTGCTCTTAATTTTAAGAAGATTTATATTATTGATTAATTACCTGTGCTTTATGAAATAATATTCAAAGGTATTGTGTATCAGTGAATAAATAATTATAATATAGCATCTAAGACTATTTTATTGTATTGTTTTTAAATAGTGTGGATCAAAGCGAGTAGGTAAGCGCCGAGTCATCTGTGCGTGTAGTTAGGTACCTACAGGCGGCCGCCGGTCGTCGCCCCGACCGGCGCTGATCTCGACTGTAGGCATAATGAAGGCATTCATTAAGTTTCCGTTTTTTTATTAGTGCTTATTTTAAGTTGCTTTATAACTTCTATGTAGACGTGTTTAAAATGAATAATTACTCATAAGGAAGAAATGAAAAAAAAATAACCAAATAAAAAATTAAAAAACGAATAAATTATTTTAAAAAATCCGAAAAAAATCAGGCATACTCTATACATGTAACCCATCAATCTCACGAAGTTTCATAGAAACATTCAATTTCACCCTGTGTAATAGCATTAACATAATGAATATAGAAGCGCTTATCGCGTAAGTTTTTCTTAACCCTGTATGGGATAAAAGAGACATGAACCATTCAAATAGGAATGTCGTTGATGGTGCTGGCAAAACTTCGCTGGAGAAATAGGTGTTGAAGGTAAAGAAATACTTTTTTCTTCTAGTCTCATTTTTAACACAATTTATTAAATTATATTCTAAAACGCGTATTGAGTCGTAATAACTGTTACAGAAAGTATAGCATAAAATGTAAACATAAATTTAACAACAGGCACACATACCTACAGATCTTTTTTAGATACCCAATCATTCCATGAAATGATTCCCGTTTTTAAAAATAATTATTAGCTTTAATTCGTTATGTTTGGTTTTGGTATTATAGTCTTATAAAATATCCAATATAATCCAAAAAAATTACTTTTCAACAGTGAGATGTTTCTTTATTGTTGTAATAAAGTCAATCTTAGGTATATTTATATACATTTAAATAATCAATTATGATAAAACAGATGTCTGAAAATTTTCCCCCTATTAATCACCCCATCGCTTTAAAAACTCCGCAAATTTGGGGGGAATCCCCCCAATCTGGCATCAGTGCTCGCGTCCGCGTCTTGTATTATCTGCCTCCACTGTGGCAATCACCTGCTTTCCTCCAAAGACTTTATCTTTCCTCGAGCTGACATCTCACGAGCCTGTTTTCTGAGTCTGAATCTGATTCTGAACCTGCGTGCACTGTGGCCGTACCCTTAAAGTGATTGTTATAGATCTATTTATTCCCCCTAATTTTATAAACGCTAAATAAATCCCCGTGCATATTAAAGTGTCGTGGCGCGCCGATTTCATACATTTATTATGGGCTAGAGAGAGAGAGAGAGGTAAGAGCGTCGACACGACATGACACGTTTTGTTTCTAACCATAGTAAATGTATGAAATCGTGGCGCACCAGAAGCATTCGATTCTAGCGTGATTCTCTAAACTTAAAACTAAATTTAATATCAGTCTTTCCTTTTCATTCTGTATAGAGAATGACAAGGATAAACTGAAGTCAGGTTTAGAGAATGATGAATCGACACCTATGTTTTGTCTCTGTTCATTGAATGACAAATAATGGTCTTTGAGTGCACAGAAAATGTACATTCTCTACCGATAGTTTGAGTGATATGAACAAAACACGGCGTAACTAGTCTAAGCATAGTCCTCGTTTATCAATAAGGGTTATTGTCTTTGGAAACTTATATTAGGAAGGTGTAAACAAACTTTAGTCCAATCAAGTCAGAGTAAGTCAGACTTTCATCTGGCACAGCGGCGGTAAAAAATCAATAGTAAAATTTGGGATCACTTGGGATAGGTGGTAATCAGTGCCGTCTTTGACCTATTGGAGGCCCTGGGCATATTAGGATAATGGGGCCCTATGACTTCCCTTTGGTGATTTAACAGGAACTAGGGACTTGTATTTGTTCTGAGGGGGCCCCCTATCGATCGCGGGGCCCTGGGCACTTGCCCAAAGTGAAAGTTCCCACTGAGAAAGACGGGTCTGGTGGTAATAAAGCTCTAATATCATAGCTAATAGTAGGGGAGCCCACGATGCTAAATTGATTTACTCGAACGTCGTTGGGACCTAACGGATTGTGAAGGTTAGATGCTAAAAAGAAAAAAAAAATATAATGTATACCTTTTCAACGGTGGGTGGAAAGTGTACAGGTTTTTAAAAATGTAAAAAAAACAGGCTTAGACATCCTAACTAAAAAGTGTGAAATAAAAAAGGTAAATTTAAAAAATCAGAAAACCCTCTGCTTCCTGAATACTTTAATTATAGTGAAGAGAAAGAAACAAGTCTAGTAGTCTAGAATTATGTTAAGTGTGGAACAAAGCTACGTCAACAGTTGTGACCCATTATTGAAAAAATTTGATCCATTTTTCATTATCTAATGGGTCCCCACTGTTGACGTGTAGCTTTGTACTTGACAGAATTATGACTACGTATCCCTAGCACGAACCAAT